CAAGGCAGAGAAACATCTGTCAAGAATACCTGATTATAATTGTCTGTGAATGAAAAGGTGGGCAAGGTGACCTTTCAAGGTTTCATCAAGACTTTTTTATGATTCCATATAGTCCTTTTCACCTCCAGTTAATTTAAAAAAATGGAGGAAAGGAATGTAGTTGTATATACAACTTTTTTCCTTCTTTCTCTGTCAAATTAACCTGAACTACATGTTACATAGTGTATAAATATGGTCAATACCATTGCATACTTTTACATATATCCTCAGTAAAAAGTAAAATAATTTTGTGTATATATAATCCATGTATTGACTAACAGGATTTAAAGTGTCTTAAAGATGCATTTTTTTATGCAATAAAGTATTGACTTAATAAAATCTACTTATTGATCAACAAGGAATCAACTGCTGATTGTGATTATCATATATTTCATGAATCTACTAAATAAACATCTGGATTTTCTTTGCTTAATTGTAAATTACCAAAGATTTTGATATTATACTTAAACTAGGAAATATTTGAAATACAATCTCTTAGAGCTTTAACAGGATGATTAGACATTGACAAAATTCACTTCTTCATTAATTCAATTTAGAATTTTAATGGAAACCTGCTGAAGTACTTTTCTTACAAGTTGAGAGAATTTCAGGCAATGTCTTGAGGCAATTTCTTAGTTCTGTGAGAAATAACACACATATAGCAGATGGAGGGAAACCAATGGGTATTTAGAAATCATACTTTCCCACAGTCATGAAAATGGTTACATTGAAGTGTGATGAAGAAATGAAATTTGAATTAATTTAATACATTAGTATATATTTTTTGAATGTCGTTTAAGTCCCCTAACAGTAAAATAAAGTATGGCAATATGAATGAAAAACTAGACTTCTAATATGCATTGTTATGATTTTGTTTGACAGGTTATATGTGGGCTTAATGTTCCTTAATGTGGTTGACAAATAATTTAGTTTGAAACTCTGGTATCTTATGAATGTTTTAATATGGTTAGGGAATTGCTGTCACTGCTTCTAGACATCTTTGCAGATCATGTAAGTGCTTCAAAATGCATCTGTTTATTACTTTCTAAACAAAGGAAAGAATAAAATAACATTTTGTTATATTAAAGAAGCAAAGTATCTTATATAGATTTTTTATGCATAGTGGCAAACATGAAAATAAATTACCAGTGTTAAACTGTCATTCTATTGATATTACTTGTTTGTAAAAAAAAATCTTTTTAGTGCAGTTTCCTTAGGAATCATTGTTTCCATGTGGAAGAGGGCAATTTTGGTTAGAGAAGAATTGTATTTTAATTATATGCAGAATTTTATAAGATTTTCATAAGAATCATGATACAGCAAATTTTATTGTTAATTTTTTTTAAAAAATATATACCACTATAAATGCTGTGTGTTAGATTCACGTTGATATTCACCATGAGCTCCTTCATTAATTGCAGTGAAATCAAAAACATGGCAAAAGGAGTGAAGTATTGCTTATCATAAGGATGTCTGTCTCTACCCTATAGAACTGATGAATTCCAACAGAGGAATTTCTGAAACTAGTTTTCAACACAATTGGGCTAAAGCTAGAGCATGTGGTGAGTGTGTAGATTCAGTAGAATTAGAAAAAGTATGAAGGCAACCAAAATGGCTAGTCAGAAGGGAAGACCTCCAGAAGGAACGGATCTAATTTGACTAGAATCCTTTAGCTTGCAAAAAGAAACCACTGAGGAAGAATGTGATGATGCAGGTCTGTAGTACCCAGAAGGGCGTAGAGAAGAGTGAATATGGAATGAGTATTTACTGGTTTTTACAATGTCCGCACTGGAACTGTTAGGAAGCAGTTTTAGAATAGCCAAAGGAAAAACCTTTGTAGACGAAATGACAGTATGGAACCCATGATTAAGGATTTTAAAAATTGGAAGCACATAACTAGTTCAAAACCATTTAACTGTAAGAAGCTGTCAATATCTGTGGAAAGACTAAATTTGCCCTGTGTCAGTCTTCTAGTCCCTGTCACTGTTCCAGGTGAGATACTAAATGGTCCTTCAGCCTGGCCCCTCATGGCTGGTCCTGCATCTTCCTGTGGTATTTGTTTGAAACCACAAGTAACTCCTTCCTCCCTCCCTCAAAAAACAAGCAAAAAGTGCATTAATTAATCTTTTTAACTTTCTCAAGTGTCCAAAAAGTTCCATCATTAATGGAGTTACACACGTGAGTCAGCATCTGCTGTCTTGGTGTCAGTCTGTGCAGGTGCTGTTAATATTTTAAGATAAAGGGTAAAGACCCCACAAATAAAGTAGAGAAGGACTGTTAAGGACTGCTGTTACCAAGTACATGAAGAATATTTGTAAACTTGGTAAAAATTAAATATTTTATTATCAGGTTTATTCACTGGGTTTAGGAAAAACTGTTGGCCTTTAACTAGTGTTGTCGTTCTCACCCATATAAAGTCACTGAAAACTGGCACTAAATACTACTCAGTCAGAATGACCTGGTGTATCTGGTTACACTCGCCCTTTTCCTATGTGTAAATGCTAGCACATGGTCAAGATAAAAAAAATCACATAATAAAGAAGCTCCTTTTGTAAAAATGTATCATTATGGTGACAGTGAAAAACTTTCTGAAAACTCATTTCTGGAGTAATGAAATAACTTTTTATGAAAAATTTCTAATATCAGTAACTTCTGTTAGTTTGACTAATTTTTAAGTTTCCAGGCAGCATCTTGTTTCTGTGTAATCTAATGAAAACAATGTGTGTTCTAGAAAGCCAAATGTTTTCTGATCTTGAAAGAAACTAATGAATAGCTGTACAGATGTATATAAAAAATAACAAAAACATCAGTAACATATGTAATGAGCTTATGTTTTAAGTATTCAGAATCATGGTATGGTTTCGTATTTGTGGTGCATGTAGTTCAGTATCCCTGCTTCTTTCTTAGTTTCTGTCTGTGATGATAGAAACTTCAGTGTTAGAGTATTTTCTTTTTTACAAATGTTTATCCATGGTACGTTTTTCTTCTTATCCAGTTAAATAGTTGAAAATCTCTTTTTATCAAGTACTTGTCAAGCATTTGGTACAGAAGCACGTTTTTACCCTGGCTAGTTAATTAAGGTGACTGTAAACAAAAAGATGTACAACTCAAAGCCAAGCAGTGTTTCACACAAGGATGGAGGTGATAATAGCTTAATTCCTGCTTGATCTTTCCTGTCTTTGCCCTGGCTACTTCGGATTGACCTTGTCCCCAATCTGATGACCTCCCCATTGCACTCAGCCATTTGGAAAGCTGCTCATGCCATAGCTGGCCCTGAGGGGCTATCTGGGAGACCACTGATCCATTGACCCATGTCAAGACTGGGTTTCAGATCTGATCTACCGAGCTTCTGACGTAGCTCCATACTACACCCACTGTAGACAAAGCCAGTGGAGCAGTCTGTTGTGGGTTTTTTTTCTACTTCTTAAGTGGCATGCAGTTTGTGCTTGCTGTATGGAAGACCAATTTTACACCAGTCATTTGCTATGAAATACACTTCCTGAAGCAATTACATGTATTGATCCTTTCTTTACAAAGGAAGTAAGTTCTCTAATTTAGTGGCTCAATTTTTCTAAATCCATCAAATTGCCAGGTTTATTGGGTGTATTTAAGTCTCAACATCAAGTTCCACAAAAAAAAAAGCACTTTTAAAATATATTAAGACCAGAAATCTATATGCTATGTCTTAATAGGCTTTTTCTATGAAGTGTTAACGCCAGGACTTTGCAGACATTCATGAAAGTGTGTAAATAAGGTTCTAGTCAAATCAACTTAGATACATTTATATATGTCTTAGTGCATATTTTACAAAATAAATGACAACTTACAAAGTCGCATGTCTGTTTGCAAAACAGGGAAACACTCCGCTTATCCAGGAGAAAATCCTTAAGGCTTTGAGCTTAATTTTGCTTCTTAGCATGCTGTGTTCAATTCTGCACTAAAATGTGCAGATTTTTCGGATTCTTTTTTTAGCCATTAGTTATACTTTGTTTTTCTCATAAGACTTGGAAATTACAACTCCTTCACTGCATGTGCTTGCATTTTTTCCTCAGCTGTGTTTTTTCCTTAGCTGTGTTTTCCTTCTGCTGGCTCTGCCTGCAGAAGTGTCAGGGGGGGCAAGCCATGGAGGTGTTAAATGCCATGTTCCAGTCCTGTTCAGCACAGGCCTATAGAGCACACTTGTTTAAAGTGGTGATGATCCTGACAAGGAATTTAGTGCATACACAGACATTGTAACCATGTGAAATTCTTTCCTTTATTTCGTTCGTGTGTGTGAAATTATGCATGATTCTTCCTTGTAATTATAGACTGGACATGTAACCGAGTTAATGACCTTTTCATGAAAGAAAAATACTGACTTGATTCAGCTTTGACTGTGTGGTTTTTCGCTGAACATGTGGTATAACTCCAGGTATTTTAGAATTTACAAAAAATTATTTATTGGGTAATAGCCTAAATATTAAGTTCTTGTAATTAGTATATATGGCACTACTTTCACCCAAACTATAGACTGCCGTTTGTGCATTAGCACTTTAAAATGTGGATTGTGTTAAAATATGAAAGAAGCAGTTTTCCCCAAATTCTTAACCTCCTTGGTTGTCTGCTGCTCTCCACTAAATATTATTTGTACCATGTGATGTTCATTACTTTGGTTTTATAGGTTTCTCTGTGCACAATATGCAATCAAAACCAATGTTCTGACTTTGTTGTTTTATAGCTTGTTGTGTCTTAGTTCCTTGTCGTTTTAAAAGCGTGATAAGGATTTATCGTATCTAAAGGTTTACATTTTGGAAAATATGAAAGAGGGGATTTCCCCCTTCTAGAGGAGGAGGGGGATGTCTGTGGGAGGATTTTGTGTATTCTCTTTGCCTAACGCCATTCTAATAATTATTTTTTTAACATGACAAAGTGCATCCTCTGACAGAATTTATAACATGGCATTGTTTTTCATTTATCTACAGGAATTGATTCCTGAATTCTATTACCTCCCAGAGATATTTGTCAACAGCAACAATTACAATCTGGGAGTGATGGATGATGGAACAGTTGTGTCTGATGTTGAACTTCCACCGTGGGCCAAAACCCCAGAAGAATTTGTTCGCATAAACAGACTGGTAAGATGGCTATCTTCTATTGTCTGTCAAGTAACATTTGTCTTGGAAGATTCTTCTGAAAGGGTTTGGAACTTTGCTTGCATAATACAGCTATTTACGTAGGGCCATGGCTGAAGTAAGCTGAAGAAATGTTAGATTTACAAGTTTAGGAAGAAAAAAGGCATATAGTATTGCTCGTTCTTTAGAATTGCACAAAAAAGTTTGAGTGTGGTCTAAATATGCAGATCTTATCCCATTTGTATGTCAGCTCTTGTGGTTCTAAAGAGCTAATAAAATCATCACTTTACAGAAGACTTGAAAAAGCTTTTTTAATCCTCGAAATATTTGTCACGCTGATTACTTAAATGTATTTTTAGGGGTTTTTAATATTAATATCAATTTAACTACAAAAAGCAGTGAATGCCTCAGGAAAGAAAGTTGCATTTTAAAATTTCTGCTACCTCTTCTGTTTCTTCTATTAAATTGATATTTTTCAGAGTGGTTTTTGCAAGAAAATAAAGCTGAGTTCTCCTTTCTCTGTTTCATTCCCCACTGCCTGTCTTCACTGTGCCCTCGAAGCAGTGTAATGAATTACAGAATGGCATTGTTGGTATATCAGCACATTCTCAAAGCTATGACATTAGGCTGTCCTCAAAATGAAAGGATTCTGCATCAGTGGCACTCTAAAGTAAATAAATTAGAGAAGCTTTTTTAAGGAATCTTGAAAAATGAGGTTGCAGTTTTCATGTGGTAGTCAGCTAACTGGGAAATACTGAGTTAAGGCATGGAAATTCTCAAAAACTTTTCAGATACCAGGCTTAGACTTGATACCATCCTGATATTCTTAAGTTAGAAACTGGGAATTGAAAAAGTTCTGTCGTCGGAAGAACATCAGACCTCATATTCATAAAATTGCAGAACAGTCACATCAGAAGAAATCTGTGATTTATGAGTTACCAGTATGCTTTACACTGCACTTTTACTGCTGACATGATACCATGGTCTTTAAAAGTGTTATTTTGCCTAGATTTCTGCAGGCAGTTGTAGGGTGCCCCGTAATAATTACAAGTCATGTTCGGTGAATTTAGTGTTTTGCTTCATATACAAGTATGTGCAAATTTTATTTAAACGAGGTATGAAATACGCTAACATTTAGCAGGACTACTTGGCAAGCCATATTCAAAAGCAACTTTTGATCTTCGAGTTGTGCTGATAGGTACTAGGTTAGGGAGGCAGCCTGACACCTCTTGGAGCTTGGCGTGCGTTGGTGATTCAGGATAACCTGAGACATGAAAAGCTCTGTTCTTAATAACAGACTTATCAAAGGCAGCCTGTGGCCTTGATCTCTCATGACTGTGGTGTTTTAGCTTTTGCATAAAAATATAGTTCTCATTCTATTAATTAGAATGTGGCTTTCCCCACTGTGTGTTCTCCATCTCCTGCTTCCTCCTCTTCCAAGATTTTAGCTCTTAATTTTCTTTTCCTCATTTCTAGCCTTGGTGCCATGTTTTTCGCACCCTCACCTCTCTGTATGGACCTACCCTTCCCTCATGCTTCCCTCATTTCCCAAAGCCCTTGCTACTAGTGTCTGCCTTTCTTGCAGCTTTCTGGTATCTCTCACTTGTGCCGTATTCTCAGGATTAATGCTT